CCTGTGAAAGCCATGCATGTATTTCAGCGCTGACAGCTTGGGCTGCCAGTGCTGCGCTGGAGGGACTCCGGGGACGACAGGGTGACGCACAGTAGACTTAGAAGGAGATAGCGCATGCGATTTGGGCCGTGCCACCTGAAAACCCTGAACCTGTAGTGGCAATGGTAGGATTTGCTCCAGGATGTACAGCAGTAACATGAATCTTTCATAATCGTGCAACAGGCAAGGTCTGGCAGTCAGTCACTCTGTCCCCACCAGTGTCTTGAAGATACGTCCCCGATGCGTTATTTAAAAAGCTGCTGTGTGTGAACCAAGTCCCAGCACCAGGAAGAAGCAGGGAATGAGGGACAAAGTAGCTGAATTTTAGGGACAGTAATAGTCTGTGGCACCTCTGATTAAGCCCAATGCAGCTTTTAGCGTTGCATTCGGGGCTTAGGTAATGTGCTGATGGCTCTAACTCTGCTAGTGGTCTGCCCGAGGCTCGTTTTACTTCTTGGGATGGGTATTTTCTGCTGACATATCCTTAGTCAAACCGGCTTAGCTCTGGGAATCCCAGAACTGTCTCCTTGGCCTAGCACCGAGTTGTCTGTCTCCTGCTTTAGTTTCCTGACTGTAAATCTGTGGGTCGGTCCAAAGGGAGGCAGGAAATGCGTGGCAGAGCAGGAGTTAAACCAGTCTCTCACCCCCCTGGCTGATGCTGAATGCACTTTCTTGTCCTCCACCTGGCTGGCACCCACAATGCTGCCATTGTGTTCTGCTGCCTCGGTGGAGCGTGCATAAATCAGGGGTGTGTACGCAACAGGGTAAAGTCGTCCCGACGATGTTACAGGCTGGGGAGAGTGTGTCGATGCACCGCGGCTATTCGGCCGTGACTAGCGCGGCTCTCCTCAAACGTCACTCCCTGCAGCAGGGAGGAGAGGCCGCGTTTCAGGCGGTTTCTGACCCTTGCCATGTAATCCCGGCCAGGACGGAGACGGGGAACGGGGCAGGCTCGTCGCTAGGCAGGTTTGTCCGCCACGGCCTTGCTCCCTGCATCATTTACCATCCTTGCTTCCGAGGCCGGGACCAG